TGAACTCTGTGAGCTGCAGGCCTAGAGAGGGCTTGGGGGGAAGGAGGTCGGGGCCCCTCTCCAATTTCTGCTGGTGTCTCAGTGGTTTCACTGCTCCACACACCTCACCCCGCCTCTGCACCCCCTTCTCAGTCACCCGGCTCCCTTTGGAGAAAATGCCCGTGGAGGCAGTTCTCTTCCCTGCCCCCCACCCCAAATGAGGGCCGTTCTTATCAATGTTGTCACCCTGTCACTGAGCCGCCTGGCTCCTGCCTCAGCCCCGAGCTCCAGCTTTGGCCCCTGTGTCCCTCTGGCTGTGGCCACAGAGCCTGGGCGAGTCCTGCTCTGTGTGGCCGGCACTCAGGAGTCCAAGTCAGGGAGCAGAGCCCACCACCAGCCCCTCCCGGCCTCTTCGCAGACAGGCTGTCCACAGCCCGGGGCTCAGGGCCAAACAGGGGCCGGGCCAAGCTGCCAAGGCTGGGGTTCCTCTCCTAGGACTGAGAATGTGGGCGCCCCTCCCCAGGCTGGGAGCAGCCCCCAGCCCAGCCTATGGCGTGGACGCTCTGTCCCCCAGCACCCTCTCTGAGCTCCCTCGGCCTCCCCGGCCTCCCCACCATCTGAGGCCATTTCCCACAGGTCCATACTCCCTGGAAAGAGACCAGGACGTCTCGTTGCCGAGCCAGGGGGCCGCCAACTGGGGGGGCAGCGGGAACCAGCCAGGCGGCAATTTGGAACAGGCGTGGGCTGGAGGAGAGGCCATGAGCGAGGGGGGGCGGCTGGACGGCAGTGCCAAGGTGGGTGGCACCCGCCCCGCCTTACTGGCGGTCCCAGGGCCTGGCATGCCGTGAGCCACAGCCCAGGAAGGGGCTGGGGCTGGGGCTGGGGCTGGGGTGGGCCAGGATGCCTCTCGGACCTGGGCGCTGTCACAAAGCACCACAGCCTGGGGCGGGGCAGCTCCTTCCTGCCTCGCGGCCCCTGGGCATATGGCCCCAGGCCCACCCCTCCCTCCCTCCCCCCTGAGGCGCGAGTCCTTTCTGCTCCTCATGGGAGCAGCGGTCCAGGACTCAGGGCCCATCCTGTCCAGTCTGATCCGACTTTAATGCAGCTTTTCTGCCGAGACCCATTTCCCAACAAGGCCTCTTTCTGAGGTTCTGGGTGGGCATGAATTCAAGGGGACTCGGAGCAGCGTCCCAGGAGGTGAGCAGAAGCCTCACGTCAGGGAAACGGGTGGTGATGTCTGATGAATAAGGAGCGGTCTGCAGAGCCAGGGAGCACGAGGGGGGAGCCCCGGGTCCTGCGGCCACCTGAGGACACCCGGGCTAGTGGGGCCACCGGAGGCCTGGGGCAGGCCCAGGCGTGTGGGGCCCTGCAGCTGGGGCCCCATGCACAGTAGCGTACAGCAGTGGTCAGGGGATGCTTGCGGAGTGGCCTGGAGGGAGGAAAGGGCACTGCAGGGCCCAGGCAGGTCATGGGGGCATGTGCAGGCCCAGAGAGGGGACCTGGAGAGCCCGGTGGAGAGACACCCTCAGGGTCAGATGCACGTCGTGGCCTCGGCAGGCATGGCTGGCCTTCCCCAGCGATGGACGTTTGTGGTGCTGAGCGCAGACAGAGCCGCACCCACCCGCCAGCAGCCAGCAAGGTGGGCAATAAGGGGCCAAGGCCTCGTGGGGCCTGTTGGGGGGGAGCAGCGGGAGGGTCAGCTGAGAGGGTGGCTGTTTGGGGCAGGCAGAGGTTGTGCACCTGGCGGGAGGGTGGGAAGGTGGGAGCTGCATGCAGTTCCTTCCTGGGCTGAGACACGAGGGAGCAGCCGTGTCTCAGAACGTGGAGTGGGGGTCCCAGCCTCCCCCACCGGCAGCAAGTGTTCCCCGGGCTCCTGGTCCGCAGGCCCTGGGGAACAAAGGGCCATCTGCTTTCCGTCGGCAGACAGCCTGGGGCCCACCCCTCCCAGTGGGGCCTGCTGCACCCCAGCCAGCCTCCCCGTGTCCGGAAACGGGAAAATGCCAAGAGCAGCTCAGCTGGCCGGCACCACGGTTAGCGTGGCCTTCCGTCCTTGCTGAGCTCCTCAGGGCAGGGAGGCTGAGCCTTCCGGAAGGTTCCAGCTTTGCCCCCTGTGGGAACAGGGTGGCACAGCCCATCAGACAAGTCGGCCGCCCCTTTCAGCGTCCTGGATGCGGGTCCTGGGGTCCCTCCCTGGCCCCAAGTCTTTCCACCCCACGTCGCTGGGAGAAGAACTTCTCACCTGTGTCCTGAGGTCTGCGCTGCTGCCATCCAGGCAGAAGCTGCTGCCCCTGGGGCCAGGGACTCCACCCCAGGGAGAAATCTGTGGGGCACCAGGTTTCCAAACCCTGAGCCCCTAGAAGGGGCACTGGTCTCCCACTGCAATTCTGTGACTCAGATTTACCATAAAAACACCAGGTTTGCGCACAGGCTTGGAGAAGAATGCACATCACAGCTCAACTTAGAGCCACAGGTACGTGGAGCACGCCGCTGGGGAGGGGCAAAATAGCTCTGGGCATGGCCCGCGGCAGAGCCCTCGGCACAGGGGCCTCTCAGGAGGCACGTGGGGCCGTGGGAAGGGGGCTGCAGAGCAGCGTGCCCTCCCCCTGCGGGGGTAAGTCACATCACACAAACCTTCCTGCCCATTCTTGGCACACCTTCAGGGTCCGCCTCCGTTGCCCAGTGGACCCAAGATGTTACCAGCCTGTAATTAATGAAGGCAACCAATGAGGGGCGCCACACTCTTAACGTGATGTTGCCGAGATACTTCACACCGCACAGCCCACCCGCTCAGGGAGCTGGCCCCCCTGCCCTCGGGGCACTCAGAGCCACCCTGCTCTGGGCCCACCATGGCTGCACAGCACGCCATCCCCACAGGGACCATGTGCCCATGGCCGCTCACTTCCCACTGCCTCCCCAGCCCCTGGTGGCCATAAGGCACATCTCCACGGATTGTCTGTTCTGGGCCTTTCCGTACCTGGTGACCATCTGCCCAGGCCTCAGTGAGCCCCTTTTTGGGGCTCAGCCTGAGGTGGCTCATGCTATTCCATTGCGTGGAGGGACCATGTCCCATTCTTTTCTCGGTCTTGGAAATCTGGTGAGCATTGCACAGCTACGGCCTGCTTGGTTTAGACAGGCACGCGTCAGGCTTCAGGCCCCGAGCATCCAGCACAGGCTGGAGGGTCCTGGCCCACCGCACCCCAGCCCCTGACAGCGACAACTGGCCCTGGAGTGCAGCACAAGGTGGGCCAGTCAACAGCTCTGACGTCTCAAAAGGAGAGGAATCGGTCCTCTGGAGGCACTTTCCACCTGGCGACTTCCGCCTGGTGTCCTCGGAAGGAGCTCGAACATCTGGGGAAGGTGCTGCGGGGGCCTGTTGAATCCCCGTGGGTGGTGCTGTGTCTGGCCACAACTTCACAGCTGCGCCCAGGCATGGGCTTTGCCCTCGGGCCAGTAGCCACCGTCCAGCTCCCCAAACATGCAGGCACCCCACCCCTTCTGCCTTCTGCTGCCCTCCCAGCAGCCCACCTCCTCCTCCGAGGGCCATCTCCATGGCAACCCGAGCGCTAGGGGACACCCCTGACATCCAGGCCTGGGAGCACCCCCCAGGGGATCACTTTGCCCATCAGATGCCACCGTCTCTCTGTGTCCCACCAGGAGGAGAAAACCCCTCAGGAGCCACTCCTCCACTGAAAATGGCTGACAGCCCTGGCGGCCCCCCAGCATCTCCAGGGTGCCTGGCACCACCACGACCCCTCACCTGTGCACACAGCCCCTGGGGAGGCCGTCGTGGGGCAGGGCCTCCTGGCCACCGTGCCCACCATCCCTCTCAACTGCAGATGCTGTCCTCTCTGCAGGTGGGGAAACCGAGGCACAGTCAGGCCACCTGTCACCAGCGGGGGCTTTCTAACACATGATTAATGTCAGTGGTAAACCACACGTATCCTCTGGGGCATCCCAGGGAACCCAAAGCCCAGATTCGTATTGGGGCACCACCAGGTTCTGGAACAGTGGGCTCCTGTTCACTGTCGGCCTCTGCACGTTGCCAGAAGCTAACAGGCTCACGGGCTGCTTTGGGGCCCAGGACCCCAGCCCAAGAGGCCAGGATGAGCCCCCGGCCAGAAGCCTCAGGGGCTGCCTCCCACCGGGGCTTGACAGGGCCCATGAATACACCTTCTGGGCAAATAAAACGCCCAGTGGCTCCCAGCCTGACAACACGCATCCATTGTCCCCTCAGCCTGGAGCCCAGACTCGGAGCTGCAGGCCCCCCACAGGACCCACCAGCTGAGGAGGAGCCACACCCAAAACCTGTCTGGGCCTCACAGCAAATAATGACCCAGGGTAGGTGGGCACCCAGGCCTCCCTCCCATGAGGCCACCCAGGCCCCACGCTGTCCCAGCCGGCGGCACTTCCCCTCGTGTCTGACTCTGCCCACTTCTTAGCCGCGAGCATGGAGGTGTGGAGAGAGGAGGCAGCTCCTCAGCGCTGCCCTGCCTGCCTCCCATGTGGGGGGTGGATTCCCCACTGGGGGGTCCCAGGAGAGCCCCAGCGTGTGTGCGTGGCCCTTAGCCGCTGCCTGGCACTGACGCCTTGGCTGGTCCGTGGGACCAGGCTGTCGGAAGCCGGTCCCTGGGCTTGCCTGCCAACGGCCCCCAGGCCAGGCTGAGCGAGGGACTGACCTCACCCTGCCTGGAGCCCCCGGGCAGGACTCTGGGGCTCCGCAGGTGCACTGAGTTCCCCCAAGAAGCAGGAACAGCATCTCTGGCCTGGCACGTCCCAGCGGTGGGCCCTCGTCCACTGGGGAAGCTGCCCAGCCACCAGGCCTGCATCCCCATTCCGTGTGCAAGGGGCAGCCGCTGTGCGGCTCTGGGTGCCGGCTACCGGTGAGTCATGCCAGGGACTCTGCTGTGTCCAGCTGGGTGGGGCCCTGGGCCCTGTTTGCTCTCACTGGAAGCAGGAGGGACTTCCTGCAAAGGTACTGTGGCCTCGTGCCAAGTGGACTCCAAGGGTGTTTTCCAGGCAAACCAGGAAGCAGAGCCGGCTGCTCCTCCAGCCCCCGCCGGCCCCGGTGGGGCAGACCCTTCCCAGCCGCCCCAGCGCCCACTTCGCCTGGCTCTGAGCGCCGGGGCCCCTCGCTGTCCCGCTGCCAGGTGCCGCGCGACGGGACAGCCACTGATCCCGCCACAGCGGCTCAGGGAGGCGAGGGAGGCGGTGCCCCCAACAGCCGGCCAGCGCCCGAGGGAGCCACGCCAGCACGAGGAGCCAGGGCTAGAGTGTCGTCACATCCAGGGGGACATGAGGAGACCCTGATCCAGGGGTGGGGATCAGTGAAGAGCAGCCCCCGGGGTGGAGCGCATGCTGGGGTCCTCAGCCAGAGTGTGAGTCGCCTTCCAGGGCCCGGACAGGAAGGTCCCCCCACCCGACAGGGACTCGGAGGGCTGGAGGCAGTTCAGCACCAGCCCGCTCTGCCCTCAGGGCAGCCGGCCAGTCGCTCGGGGCCACCTCTGCTGGCACAGCATGCACTCACCAGAACCCTCTGAACCCTGCATTCCAGCCAGGAAACCCCCACTTCCCCCATCTTGCTGGGGAATTCACCAAGAAGCAGAAGTTAATTTAGATCACCTGAAACCCCCAGGGAGGGTCACTGCCAGGTGAGTGGCAGGCGGCCCCGAAGCGGGCTCTGGGGGCAGAAGCCACTAGCGGAACTTCGGGAAATCACCAAGGCCCCGTCAGGAAGGAAAAGCCGGGGGTCTTGATGGCACAGCCCAGTTAGTCTCCTTCCCAGGTGTGGGGGGGGACGCCCGTCGCGTGTGGCCGCATTCCACCGCACGAGCAAGGCAGGAGGCCTGGCCACTGGCTTTGCCCCCCCAGGCTCAGTTCCCATGATGGCCCCTGCAAAAGCCTGGGTCCCTGTCCCAACTTGGGGACAGCGCCTGCTGGGCCTGCCCTCTGCCCTCCTGGCGCCCGGCCGCCCTGCCAGGGGGCTGCCGGCCGCATGTTAATCTATCAGTTCCTGGTGTGGGCTGGGACCGGGCGCCCAGCTGGGCTGTGTCTGACTGCAAACAGCAGAGGGATGCTGGCGTGGAGCCCTCGGCACACTGACAGCTCAGCCCCCACACCCGCAGCCCGACCAGAGTTCAAGCTAATCAGCACGCAGAGCCTCCCGTGGTAGCCTCGGTCACCGGGCCAGGGATGTCCTCCTGCCCTGACCTCCAGACCCCTCGCCTCTCACCCGGTGAAGGGTCCCCAGCCCGCCCTCCCCGCCTGAGCCTCTCTGTGGTCACTGTGATGGCACCAGGCCTGGTTCCACCGCCGTGGGCCGTGTCTCCACTGGCTTGGGCAGCCTCCTGGAGGTGAGCCGAGAACCAGGCACCACGAGCCCCTCACCAGCTGTGGGGTCCCAGGCAATGGGGGGAGCAGGGAGGATGAGGGACGGGGCGCTCCGGCCCCCCCACTCCAGGTGCCCCCATGCCTCCTGCTACCATACCCAGAAGCTCCGCCACACCATGAGGTTGTGTTTCAGGCCCTGCATGCAGACCTGCCGCCTGCCTGGCCCCAGCAAGGCAGATCCCACATGGGCCGCACGCCCGCTTTGTGCAAGGGTAAGAGCACAGCGTTTGGCACACACCCTCGGGAAAGCACCCCTGTGGTTTCTCTGGGGCCCGAGGACATGGGGAGGCCCACAGAGACCCCTGCCAGGGGGAGACTGGGCACGGAGCCCTGACCTCCAGGCCTCGGCCTGGAGAACCGCTGGGACAGCTGGTCAAGGGCAGCTGCTCCAACGTCCCTCGGTTGTGTCCACACGGTGGGCCCTGCCAGAACCAGAAGGGCAGCCCCACCTGGTCCTCATGCACCTGGACGGCAGGAGAGCCGGGAGACTGGTGGGGCAGACCCTTCCCAGCCGCCCCAGGGCCCACTTCGCCTGGCTCTGAGCGCCGGGGCCTGGGGCCCAGGCCTCATTGTCCCACTGCCAGGTGCCGTGCGACTGGACAGTCACTAATCCTGCCACACAGACTGTCTGTCACCTCTGCAGACACCAGCCAAACAGCCATGTGCACTCGTGGCTCAACAAAGAGAGACGGGGTCTCCTGAAACCCCAAAAAGACTGATAAAGAGGAAACAAGAGGCCAGAGCTCTGCAGGGTCGGTGACAGCGCCGGGACGCACAGCTGCAGAGGTGAGAGCCGGCCCAGGTCTGCAGGGACCTCGGCCCCGCCTTGCACCTCCCGCTGTGGGACGGATGGGTTTGCAGTTTATGCAAGTGTGAAGGTGAAGCTGCGGCCCGGCAGCGGCACCAGGGTCTGGCCTGCCTGAGGGCCCAGCCTTCCCCTTGGCCGGCCCTCTGCGCTGGCCCTGCCCCGGGCCCAGCTGCCTCCAGGAGCGGTCTGCTGATTTGTGGCCGACCTAATCCCACACTAATTGGATTTCTGGTTGGTGGTGAAAGATCTGTGTGCGTGCCAGCCTGCTCCTCGTTTGCACAGAATTTTAATTGTTTCCAAATTAATCCTCAGACTCGAGTGAGCTCAGCACAGATAAGCTGGTCGCAGGGAGGGGAGCAGCCGCATTCCTGCCTTCCCGGGCCAGAGCTGGCCGCCCCTGGCGTGGGGAGGCCGAGCCTCGGACATGACGCGACCGCTGAGAAATGTCCAGCACCTTCTCCTGCTCTGCTGTCGGCAGGAGCGTGGCCGGGCCCCCCACTCTGTTTGCTTTCGGCTCAGCCTCTCTCTTAATCCTATCTTTGCCAGTTTGTATCCAATTTAATACAGCTTCCGTAAATCTACATTAATTACCCAGTGTATGTCCAGCCTGTGTCACCCGCTCACCACTCACCGTCCCGGGAGCCGGACACAGAGAGCCTCGGAGGTCAGGTAGGTGGAGGAGAGGAAGGCAACTCACGCAGGGAAGGGGCTTTGGGGCCCCTTCCCCATAAGAGCCCCCGCCGAGCTGAGGGGGCAAGGTCCCAGCCAGGCAGCGTGAAGGGCCAGCTGCTTCCACCAGGAAGTCTTCCCGGATGGACTCTGCCTCCCTGAGCCCCACCGACAGCTAGAGCGTGTGCCCAGGGCTAGGCCTGCCCTCCCTGCCACCCTCCTCCCAAAGGACTTGGGCACCTTGTAAAATGTGTCCATAATAGTTGGAAAAAAATGAATGAAGACACCAAAATAGATAAGGTGGGCTTCACCAAAGTCACAAATTTTGTGCTTCATAGGACACCATCTGGAAAGTGAAGAGAAAACCTACACAATGGCAGGACATATTTGCAAACCACATATCAGTTAAGGGTCTAGTATCCAGAATATATAAAGAACTCCTACAACCCAACAATTGTAAGACTGATCACCTAACGTCAAAAAATGGGTGAAGCGTCTGAAGTAGACATTCTCCAAAGGAGACACACGAACCACCAGTAAGCACATGAAAAGATGCTCCTTATCATTAGCTGGCAGGGACCACACATCAAAACCACAACGAGATCCCACCTCACACCACTAAGACAGCTACTACCAGCAAACAGAAAACGCCGGTACTGGCGAGGATGTGGGATGCAGAGCCTCCTGCACCGTAGGGAGCACCAGTGGGGGGGCAGCACCGTGGAAACCAGCCGGCTGGCCCTCAAAAGGTTCCAAACAGAATTACCAGGTCGTCCAGCAATTCTGCTCCGGGGTGTGCATGGGAGATAATCAAAAACATACAAACATGCAAAAAGGTGTACACGAAGGTACATAGCATTTTTCACGGCAGCCAGAGGTAGGAACAACCCAGACACCCATCAGCAGAGGAAAGGATAAACACAACGTGGCCCGTGTGTTCAGTGGGCTGCTCCTCAGTCATGAGGAAGAGTGGAGATCTGACACGCTGCCACACGGGTGAACCTCAGCTCACCGTGCTCGGTGGGAAAGGGCGGGCCGGTCGGGCACACGCTGCACGCTGCCGCCTCCATGAAGTGTCCAGGCGGGGCCGGGGGGTGACAGCTGAGTGCTGAGGGGTCTCCTGCAGGGAAGATGGGGTGTTCTGACAGCGGGCGACTCCAGTGCATTTGGCCGGTGTACTAAAACCCATTGGATGGTGTTGCCATTTTAAAATGGCTGGTCTTGCCATATGTAAACTGTGTCTAAGAAAAAGAAAAGTGCTTATTAAAAAGTGAATAATGAGCGAACAAGGGAGGAAGAAATAGCGAGAGGAGGCCCGGGAGAGCGTGGGGGCTGTGGCTCTGCCGTGCATCTGCTCTCCGCCCCTCTCCCTCCCTTCCCTGGGGTGTGGCCAGAGGGCAGAGCAGGCCCTGGGGACCCAGCCCTCATAGCCAGGGCCTGCGTGGAGCTCACTGTTTTTTCTGGAAGCTTCTGAGCTGGATTCTGCCTGATTCTTAAACACCTGGCATCAGACGGGGCCCACAGGACACGTGCCAGCCTCCGGCCTCCCGGGCTGGGGCTCTGCTCTGGGGCTTGGTGTCCCAACACCTGAAAACCCTGAGGTCTTTCCCAAAGGGACCCACATTGCAGCCAGTGCCCCAGTCCCTCTGCGACCCCCACAGGAAGGGGCACAGCCACCCACCAGCTGGACCCTGCCTGGCCTCTGACGGCAGAGGTCCAAACGCCCTCCTCCCCAGGACTGCTCAGGAGGATACTGGTCCTCAGGGTCATGCCCGCTGCCCTCGGGCACTTACTGCAGCCGCAATGACGCAATTTCCATATGAGTGTCACATTCAGACATATGAACGTTGACATGTCAACATGCATTTTAGGGTCACACAGTTCAACCACCAGAGTGTCTTGTTTGAAGCCAAATCGTGTGCCAGGCAGGGCCTCATGCCACCGTCAGCCTGGTGCAGGTTCTGGATGTGAGGGCAGGTCTCTGGGATCAGCACAGGGAGGGGACTGCAGTTCCTGGGGTACGGAGGCCGGTGATGCTGTCCAGGGTGCAGGGAACACGGAGGGGGGTCTCTGGGGCCTGCCCTGGGGAGTGGCTGTGTCGTTACGTGGCGAGAGGGGAGTCGAGTCACAGGAGTTTGCCAGTCACTGGCCTTCGATGGGACGGTGCTGGGTGGTCCCAGCCCATCACAGGGGTCCTCAAAAGCAGAGTCCAAGGCAGGGGTTATGAGGACCTGACCAGCCAGCCAGCTGTGAAGACGCCAAGGGGCCCTGAGCCATGGAACGTGGCGCCTCTGGGGGCTGGAAGAGGCAGGATGTGGATCCTTGGAGCCCCCAGAGGGGCCAGCACCATCCACGCCTGGACGTCAGCCCCGGGGGCCTGAGTCGGACTTCCGAGCCCACGGCTGCAGGAGGTAAAAGGTCGCTGCTTTCAGGCACCGCATCTGTGGTGGCTCCTTACAGCAAGGTGGCCCGCCCCCCACCAGCATGAGGGGGCTGCAGGACCCAGGCTCAGAGCCCATGCATGCAACCCAGGTGGACCCAGCCAGCCAGCCACAGAGGCCAGGGCCACAGAAGGCTCCACAGCAGGACGGGAGGAACGTGGCACAGCCACACCGACCACATGCACCACGCAGGCCTGGTCCTCAGAAGGCCACGCATGCTCCCTTCTGGGCAGGACAGCGGGCTCTGAGTACGCCTGTCAGCGTGGCCCGAGGCCTGGAGGCTGCTTGGGCGGCCGTGGGAACTGACAGGGCTCAGCCTGCCAGCCTATCCCACCCCACGCCCCAGAGGCCCCTGTCCTCTGCCGACCCTGGCCCAGGTGTCCGGGCTCCCAGCTGCTCTGAGCAGACGCGGCCACAGAGAGTGGGCCTGGCCCCAGTACACATAGTCCCAGGGCCCCGGCCCAGAGCACTCCTGGGGGAGAGGCTTCTAGCTGCACAGGGTGTCGCCTCCATCACCCAGCCTGGCTGAGGTCATGCCGTCACCAAACACTGTCCTCAGACGTGGGTTGGTGCCAGCGTGTGCCACCCCACTGCTGCCCCGGGAGACTGAGGCTCGTGGGGCCAGGGGCCACCAGCCCCACAGCCCACACTCAGGCCCCTGCCTGGCAGGGCAGCTCACCAAGTTCTGGCCTAATGGGGACCAGATACCCACCAGGCCCAGGCTGCTGCTGGGTGGGTTGTCTGGACCCCAACCCCCACCCGTGCCTCCCTTTGGAGATGGCCTGTCACCCCATTGCTGGGGCCATAAGTCAGGGCTGTGCGGGCACAGCGGTGTCAGGCCTGGAGGAATCACAGGCCCCCCACAGGTTTCCTCCCTCGGGCCACTGGCCGCAACCCCCTCCAGGCAGCCCTGCCCCCGGGCACTGGGGCGCACACTGGGGCAGGTGAGGGCTCACTCTCCTGAGGGCTGTGGGCACCCTGCACTGTCAAGACGGCCACTGCCCATCCCTGCAGCCTCTCCATCTCGCTGGCCCCAGAGCCCTCCCAGGTCCCTGGGCAACAGCCAGAGAAGGAAAGAGGGGTCCAGGACCGCGCAGCTCAGAGACAGCGCTGGACCCCAGACCCAGGGCTCCCCCTTCCCGGCACAGCAGGGCCTCATGAAGCACCTTCCGATGCAGGTGGAGTAAGGGGCCCCTACCAGCCGCCGCCCCTGCCCCGCCCTTGTTCTCCTGTCAGCCATGCCAGGGCTCCAGCCCTCAGCCCCGAGCTCTAGGGCACAGCCAGGATGCCCTGGGCCACGGGAGCTCGGAACTCCCAGGAGGAGCTGCGAGCAGGTGGTCTGGATGCTGATGCGCCACGGGGAGGCAGGGCACCCCTGGCATGGAGACCTGGCCCCTGCTGGTGACAGCACCTGCTCCACAGGCAGATCTGTGACCAAGGACACACATGAATCCGGTGTGCTGGGCCTGCACCACGTGTGTGGGGCTCCGCACGTGTCCATATGCACATCCCCAAGTGTGTGTTGTGTGTGCACGTGTGTTGCAGCTTGTTCCCTGAGGGTGAGAGCATGACAGTGTGTGCACGTGTGTGTGCGTTCGAGTGTATGTCCCCAGGTGTATATGTGTGCATCTCACTTCAGGGACACTCCAGGGAGCTCTGGGGGCCGGGAAGGGCCTGTCCCTGGGGCGGTGCAGCATTGGGGGACCTGGGGGCGCCCCTTGCCGAGAGCGTGGACTCCAGAGCAGCTGCTGGGCTGTCCAATTGCCTTGGGAAATGCAGACAGATGCTGCCTGGAGGTGCCAGGTAACCCACAGGGGCCCCTCTAGACCGATTTTCCCCGTGATTTAACAGGCTTCCCCATTCCTCCCAGCACAGTACCCCCACCCACCGTGGCCTCAGGTCCTGGGGTCCAGAGTTGCCCTGGGGCTCCTGTGCCCTCAGACCAGGCCCCTGACTGCGGGGGACTCCTGGGTTCAGTCACTGAGGAGCTGAAGGCCATGTCAGGTGCCCAAATGCACTGGGAAGAGGGCCCACCATCTCTCAAACCCACTAGAAGTCTCCTTTCAAAACACTTGAAGCTCAAAAATGAAGAGAAATAGGTCTTCAGTGGCATGGTGGTCAGGGTCCAGCAAGGCAAACGGTGTGGTAAACACTCCTGGGTAAGGGCGCCTGGTGCTCAGCCTGGGCACATGCAGAAGACACGTGGGGGAGACGTAAAGGAGGCCAACTGGCCTCTCCAGGCACCTGTTTGCACCTGGCCTGTGCCGTCCCACTGAGCGGGGTCAGGCAGGGGAAACGCTTCGTCTGCATCGCCCGGAAGCCATGCACCATCGGGGAAAGTGGGCAGCGGACAGGACAGGCCCTTGGTTATCTGACCTGCGTGGGAGGAGGGTGAGGCTGCTGGCGGGAGGGGGATGCAGAGACAGCGTCAGCACCGAGCCCCTGTCCTGGCCTCTCCCCCAGCCCG